GTATCCGGGGAAGGGCCAGCAGTGTACAGAATCGTGTCATCAGCATATAGGTGGATAGAGGAGGTTGCCCACGATTCTCTCATGTTCATTTATATATATTGAGAATAGGATGGGGTGCTAGAATAGAGCCTGTGGTACTCCCTTAGAGATGGATAGGGGCTGTATCATCAGATTTCAGATTACACACTGGGTGCGCATGGACAGGTTAGTTTTCAAACCAGGCTATCGATTGGTTAGTGACACTAATGCATCTAACTTTCCCAGAAGCAGTTGGTGATCTACGGTGTCGAAGGCTTTGGCAAGATCGATGAAATGGCAGCACAGTATTGTCTGGAGTCAAGGGCATTGATGATATCATTTAGGACTTTGAGAGTCGCCGTCTCACACCCATACCTGCACGGAACCCAGACTGCATGTCAGATAGTATGTTGTAAGTCTTCAGAAACCATGTTAGCTGTTTGCAAACTAACTTTTCGAACACTTTCGCTATACAGGGTAGAATGGATATTGGACGATAGCAGTTGGGGTCAGCATGGTTTCCCCCCTTTAAACAAAGGTTGCACTGAGGCTGCCTTCCAGGCAGAAGGTATCACTGCTGTCTGTATGGACAGATTACAAAGGTGGGAGATAGCTTCTGCAATAATCGGGGCTGCAACTTTAAAAAAGAAGGGGTCTAGCCCCATCAAGACCTGCAGGTTTGTTGGGGGTCAAGTTTGCTAAGGACCTCCAGCACATCATTCTCACTAACTCCTGTAGGCAGAAGCTGTGACATGGGGCTGCGCTAGAGGGGCTGGGTGGCAGGAGTGTTGGTGGTGGGGGGCTTAGGAGGCGCTATAGAGCCAAATAGGTTCCCACATTTAACAAGTGCTGATTTAAAGAGCTCTGCTATGCGTTCATTACCGGTGACTACTGTGTCCTCAATAACGAGGGAGTTAGGTGAGATGAGAGGATGGGGGTTTATTCTCCATCTCTTTCAACTGTTTTCCAGAATGTCCTTGGATTGGATCCCACAGAGGTTGAAATTGATTATGGAAGTAATCAACCTTGGCTTTGCGGATAGCCTGTATAGATTTATTTCTAATTCTCCTGAATGATAGCCAATCGTCGTGGGATTTTGAGTGACGAGCCTTGCGCCAGGTGGAGTTCTTGAGTTTTGAGCAGTTCTTGAGTTTGAGCAGTTCAGCTAAATCTCGGTTAAACCAAGGACTGCATCGGTTTTTTACCCTCATGTTGTTTATGGGAGCATGTTTATTGATTACCATACTAAAGGAGTCATAAAAGAAGGACCATGCAGCATCGATGTCAGGGATCAAGCTAAGTCTGTCCCACTTGATAGCAGCCAGGTCGTAGAGGAAGTCTTGTTTCGTTGAAAATGTTTCAGTATTCGTCTGTGAGTGGTAAGAACTGGCTGTTTAATTATGCCACCATTATGAATGCAGCCAATAAGACAGTGGTCACTGAGATCGCTACAGAAGACGCCAGTTTTGTACCTGTCAGAGTTATTTGTGAGGATGACATCAAGGAGGGTGGCTTTTTCTGGATTTTTGTGTCATACCGTGTAGGAGTAAGGATAATCTGCGAGAGATTAAGAGAGTCCCATTGTTTTTGGACCTGCGCAGGAGGGTTGAGCATGTCCCAGTTTAGATCCCCCAGTAGCACAAACTCAGAATGAGTGTGGGGTGCCAGGAGGGTGCTGAGAGCAGGTAGGGCATGCTGGGGCAGAGGGTGGGCGATAGCAGCCAGCGACTGTCAGTGTAGAGTTATTGGCCAGTTTAATTGTTACGATAAGTAGGTCAAATTGTTTGGGGACAGATTTACTAGTGGCGATAGAACACTGGAGGTGTTGCTTTGTGAATATAACTACTCCACCAGCTTTAAATGATCTATCCTGCCTAAATACATTATAACCAGTGATGCCGATGTCAGAGTCTGGGATATTCTTCTTCAGCCAAGACTCAGTGATGACAAGTACCTCCGGATTTGAGCTGTGAACGAGTACTTTTATCTGGTCAATTTTTGGCAGTAAGCTTCTAGCATTTACATGTAGAAAACCTAAAGCTTTACGAGAGCAGAAGTCAGGGAAACTCAGATCGTTGTGACAAAAATTGACATCAGGGCACAGGTCAGAACTAGGGCTACATACAATAGAAGGTCCAGGATGAACATGCACATTGCCCGATATCATCAGTAATAATACAATCAGGGCACGGCCAAGAGCTAGCAGTGAGTCACAATGCCTAGTTTGTTTTGTGCGCACAATGACAGTGGAATGTAATGTTATCATCTTGTGTAGTGACCTCATAATCACACATGATAGTAGTGGCATGGTGTCAGAGTTTATGTTTGGCGTTAGCCCAAGGAACCTGAATATCAGCAACGAGTCAATAGTAGGACATGCTGTCATAATTACCCAGAGAAAAATGTTACTAAAACAAAATCTCTTGTTTTGGACTGACAGTAATGATTCAAGAAATAGTAGATACATAAATACACACACATCAATCTGTTGTGGATGGAACACAACAAATGGTGCTCTTACCTGTGATGCCTCCTCCAAACATTATAACCAGACTGTATCATTCAAACTATAAGTAACAGTTCTAGCTACTTGACTTTAGACAAACAATTCAAAAGACAAAATCAACACAATTTATTGAAAGACTAATCTTTATTTTACGGTGCCTCTCCTTTTGTTTGTATTATTAAACCCTGTCAATCTAAAAAAACTGAGCAACTCAACAGTTAACTTTATATTTCTTATTGTCCATCTATTACACTATTTGTTCCCCTCTCATATTCACAGGATGGATGATTAGAGACTTTGGGGGAGACCTCAGCTTTATGAACGTCCTGTCTGTTGGTTTGGCCGGAGAGGGCTGAGGGTCTTTCCCTGCAAGGAGGACCAGGCCTGAGGGAGGAGGACCAGGCCTGAGGGAGTAGGACCAGGCCTGAGGGAGGAGGACCAGGCCTGATGGAGGAGGACCAGGCCTGAGGGAGGAGGACCAGGCCTGAGGGAGTAGGACCAGGCCTGAGGGAGGAGGACCAGGCCTGATGGAGGAGGACCAGGCCTGAGGGAGGAGGACCAGGCCTGAGGGAGGAGGACCAGGCCTGAGGGAGGAGGACCTGCACCAGCTGTACCTACAGAACTTAGCCCATGCTGGGCATAGCTGTTACCACCTGCACAGGCCTAGCTTGTGAATTAACAGATTCACATTTAGTGTAACTTATGTATATTATTTAGTATTTATTTTTAAATGGTGATGGTTCATGCTTGATAACTTTTAGTTCACATTTCAATAAATTGTATTTGCACTCCTTTTGTCCGTTATTCTCACTGAAGATGTTAGATTACACATTCACATCTGACTGAAGATTGGCACCATTTATTTGTGACGTTGCAAACTCTGCAGTACAAGGCACAAATGATGTGAAGCAGGTGTGCAGGTCTTTGTGTTACAATACAAGTGTCTCTTAGTGAATGTCCTGTACTGCTCTTAAATCTCATCACATCAGCTTCTCCTTTCCCTCTTGGTGTTCTTCTGGACCCTCAGAGAAAGAGAACATGGTGAAGCAGTCCTGTCTCTCAGGCGTGTCCTTTCCTAACAGAAATATCAAAACACATATTATTGCAGAGCAAGTGTGTTATTTAAGAAAGAGGTGTGTTTGTTTGTTCATACATATAATGATTTTTTTATTTGAATGTGTTTTTTAAATCCAACAGTGTACTACAAAGATAATCAGATTATGAATAAACCGTTCTAAATTCATCAACATTGAAATAAATGTATTATTAAAATAATATGTAACTGTTATTGCAACTGTAGAAGCTTGCTCTGTCCGGTTGTCTCACTGAAAGACAAAGGGTCGCAGCTCTCACTATGTTCAATCATATTTGCCTTAAATACATTGAAATGTGAAAGTTGAACAAAAAAGTGATGTTGCTTGGTAAAATGTAAATGTAACCTTTTGCTAAGAAAGTCCACTCAACATCACTGATGTGCAGGTGATCTAGTATTCAGTCATGTTTAATGGCATGTATATCAGTGTATTAGAGTCATTACTTTATGCATTCTTTGTAAAGCATGAAAAAGGTGTACCTTGGAATCCGTGCTGAAGTTCTCTGCTGCTAGGAGTCCAGATCTGTCTCTCCTCCTCTGGTCCAGCCTGTCTGGATCACCTTAAGGAGACTTTGAACAAACAGATGTAAAGTTACATGCATGGGTTACAGACTTCTTTACATGCAAACAACGTTTTATCTTCTTTTAAAAACAGGTCATAATCTTATTGTTATACTTCAGAAATGGCTGGATATCACAGTCCTTATACTGTATCAGTTTGATTGAGTATTATTGTGTAGGTCCTTTTTATGTTACTGTTACTTTGGATGAGGTTTTCATGAGTCAGTCAAATTAATTTGTTTTCATATGTATCACACACGTAAGGGTAAGACACAAACTTAACAAATGCAATGCAATGGATAAGCTTCATTCTGACTGAAGTCACAGATAACGTCATACTGTATCTAATATTTAAACAAATCATTTCCTTGTCACTAAAGCATTGACTATTCATCGTCCTTAAATGCAGGCATTAAGTTACATGTTCCGTTGTACAGCCACGATGAGGCTGTTTCTCAAGTGTGATGATAATACAATTAAAAGAGGCATTGGTAATAATATTAAAAACAACAATGTTTGGGTCGTTCGTCGGATAGGCGGTTAGCTGCAATAAATAACTCCAGTTCAACAAACCATATTACAATATCTAATGGAGCGTTATTTCTGGACCATCTTGAAATGTGACGTTCATATTTTAAAGATACACACATTTCATTGTGAGGTTGATTTAATATACACTAACTCTCTTCAACAATACGTTGACGTTAGCTAGTCTATTTTATGCTATAGTAGAGCATAGTGAATTGAAATGAACCTTAACAATGCATACAGTAACCTAACTAGCAAACTAACTATCTAACGTACAAGGATGACTTTATTTCATTTTTTTTTAACTTGAATTGTTACATTTTTATTTCACATACAGTAGGTACATTCGGAGCAAAACAATTCATATGTATGATTTTCAAAGTAATTATTTTCAATGTTATAAATCCGGTGTCTGATAAAATTCAAATACTTCTGTCTCGTTTGCTTCCATAGTTTTCTTCATTTATATGAGTTCTTTAGCTAACATGCCTCTTATGTTTCTTCTTCCCACCAGGCACCCAAAACATATATGTTATAAAAGCCAATGAATCATTCCAGAGTTTAAATGAAGTCAAAACGATGTTGTCATTAGCCCGCAGGTTATACACAGGCTGGAGCATGCACAATCAAAGACAACGTGTCTGTGGTTCTGCGTGCATGCTAACACCTACGGAGTTGACGTGAAGTGTGAAAATAAATTGATTGCGTTTCAGAGAACCAATAATGATGCTCTGAGAAATAATTTCCTGACTATTGAAAAACATGAGGACTTAATAATTCATGGTATTTACTTTGGGGCTTTCCCAAGTGTTCAAAGCGCCTTACAAACATATTAGACATGAATCCAGATTACTGAGGACAATACCCACAGGACACACGCTGCCAGAATCCACCGTGGTGTCTGATATATTGAATTAAAATACTCATCTTGGTTAACAGAAGGAACGGTGAACAAAAAGATGAAATGTGAAATACTTCTTTGTAAGTTAGTGTCCTGTTTTAGAGATATTAAGTTTTATATAGTGTACACCTCTCAAGTGTTTTATATTTGACTCGAACATGAGTGACCTTGAACGACACATAGCAAAGGAAAGTCTCCATGTAATGTGGGTGGCTCTTAAAAGAGCCTTTGGTCGGTGGGTCAGCAGCTGCTTATCCCCCGAAGCCGTACAGGGTGCGGCCCTGCCTCTTCAGAGCGTACACCACATCCATGGCGGTCACCGTCTTCCTCTTGGCGTGCTCGGTGTAGGTGACTGCATCACGGATCACGTTCTCCAGGAACACCTTCAGCACACTGCGGGTCTCCTCGTAGATCAGACCGGAGATACGCTTCACTCCGCCGCGGCGAGCCAGACGGCGGATGGCGGGCTTGGTGATGCCCTGGATGTTATCACGGAGCACTTTGCGGTGGCGCTTAGCGCCTCCTTTGCCGAGTCCCTTGCCTCCTTTTCCTCGTCCACTCATTTTGGAGTCTTGGTAGATCGGGTCGTTCAAAGCGAATGAGTGGAAGCAGTCTGACCGGCAGTGTTTAGATATTCACTGCGGACCTAAGAGAGGACGGACAGCGGGAAGGCTGCGAGGCGGGGCCAAGGCTGCAGCCTCCACATCATCCTCCAACACATTTAGTTTATTTTAGATATTGTTTATATAATTCGCGCAGGCTTTATACTAAAGGTTTGATGATTAGAGGTTCCTTAATATGTAATAAAACCCCGAATAACATTTACAATTGAAAAAAGACAAGAAGACAGAAAATATATAATGTGTAAATACTGTATAGCTCACAGTTAATGCTTTTGACATGTCAACAGTTGCACACGGTATACACAGACCCTGAGTTAAGTTGTGCTGCCATGGCAACAATGATTACATTAATAATCAAGAAATGTACCACATATTTAATGATTACATTTAATAAGCTAAGTAACAGACACAGAAGCATAACACTGCTTCCATTCATAGGCTGTATTAATACTCTGTATATTTAAGCTCTTACAAAATAAAATGGCGTTGGTGAATTCATTATAATTTCATTTCAGCAATTCTTGTTTAGTTGATAGTGATTTTTGACCCATTGTATTTTATTGACAGCATAAATAACAGATATACGGTATATTTATTCTGCAGCTCAGAAAGTCAGATCGACGGAAATTGTACAGAAAGATATGGTTTGTCTCACATCAGAGAGTTAGTTACTGAACTAGGGGGATCTGAATCTAACTAGACATGAATGATGAGTTAAATACAAGATGAAGAGGTGACCTGTGTGCAATGAAGCATCTCGTGAGATCTGTAGAAATACACCTGTAGAAGGATGGAGCAAGTAGGAGCCAAGGTCCCTCCAGTGCTATTTACCGGCATGACAACAGGATCAAGTCTTGTAAAGAAATGGTCAAATGCACCTGCATGTTATTCAAACTCTGAGCTGACATTTCTCTTTGATTGCTTCCAGCAAAAACACTGAATGGGTATCCACTGAAATTAAGTCTGAGGGAAACCTGTGCTCAAAGTGCTTTAGTGCCGACTAAGTAACAACTTGGAGAGCCTTATTTCAGAGAGGGAAACAAGTCTGTATTAATTAGTGATACAGAAATATGAAAACACATTTTCTCAGGATGTGATATAGTTAAACCCTCATTTTTATGTATATATATATATATATATATATATATATATATACTTATTACTTTTAAAAGTATGCATACGTTGTGTTTTAACCGAGCCATTGTGGGGCGAGCTGTAACGAGGCTCAGTAAACTATTAACATGTGAGAAATATGCATTTCATATTTAAGGGATTTCAGATTAGGGTCCTTGGATTAAGCATCAAGTTGTACACTTATTCTAAACCGAGGAATACATCTATAGAAGTAGTGGGTGGCTCTCAAAAGAGCCGTTGTGTTGTTGGTCTATCAGGGTTTACTTGGAGCTGGTGTACTTGGTCACGGCCTTGGTGCCCTCAGACACGGCGTGCTTGGCCAGCTCTCCGGGGAGCAGCAGGCGGACAGCGGTCTGGATCTCCCTGGAGGTGATGGTGCGGCGCTTGTTGTAGTGAGCCAGACGGGAGGCCTCCCCGGCGATGCGCTCAAAGATGTCGCTCACGAAGCAGTTCATGATGCCCATGGCCTTGGAGGAGATGCCGGTGTCGGGGTGCACCTGCTTCATCACTTTGTACACGTAGATGGCGTAGCTCTCCTTCCTGGACTTCCTCCTCTTCTTGCCGGTCTTGCTGGCGGTCTTAGCGACGGCTTTCTTGGAGCCCTTCTTGGCCGCTTTCACGCTGGCTGCTTCAGGCATGATGTCCCTTCTTGGGGTTTAACCGAAAGAATACTTCGTTGCTGTTCCGGACTTCAATTTATATTCGCCTGATGCAAATCAGTCTGTGCTGTTGCTCGAACATGATTGGCTGTCGTTTGTGATCAACACTGAGCATGCGTAGGAACTTCTTTCTTTTCTACATTTGAAGCTACAATTACTCTCCTTATAAGGGTTAATATATTCAATATATATATTGAATTTATATATTGAATATATATATATATTATATATATTTATTGATGTGTGTTTTGTCTTTTTGTATGTGATATGGACCTTGAGTCTGGAATAAAGATTGGAAATATATAATAATGTTGGATAACGTTTTTGGTATTAAGAATCACTAATCCTGAAACTTTGCAATCTTTATTCACATCATTGCATAGACTTAAACAATGAAGATTAAAATACCAATTTAAAACGGGTGGTCCAAAATAAAACTATAAAATAAACAACATATATATAAAAAAAACCATTAAGTAAATAATTAAAACAATATACCAAATAAATGCATACAACTAAAAGACAATTTTACTGTTTTTAACGTGTATTTTAATTAACAAGCGACCTCTGATGTGTAATCTGAACGTGGTAGCACTTCACTCTTTAGCAGCGGTAATATTCAATATTTCCGAAAACTAAACATGAAGCTAATTCATGCCAAAGCATTTACAGCTTAAACAAATGTAGTAGTATAACCAGTAGGGAAGAGAATAAATGTGAAGTGATAGCATTTGACTTTATGAAACGTCATGTGAAAAGCAAACAGATTATTGCAGACACTTTTCCTTTGACGGGTTCATTAAAGACAGATCATTGATAAAGACACACAGACTTTAATCCCACAAAGTTTCTATTAAAACATCTTAATTTTTTTATTGCACCGCTTCAATGATTTTGTACTTTTCAGAAAATACTATTAACTAGCCTACATTATTATATTAGTTATGTTTCAATAAATAACACGGTGAATCAGACTACATACCGAACGATGTAAACTACAGGGTTTTAGAATAATTAGTGACGTGTGCATGAATCCCAAATAACTGCCAACATAGAGACGTTTTAATATAAAAGTAATATAATCTAAAATGATTTAGGTATCACGATCAGTAATATTGGCAATATATTTATCTACATCAATACATACACGAACGTGTTGCGGCAGAGGCTCAGTCAGTAGGGGCTTGGGCTGGGAGCCTAGGGTCGCCGGTTCAAGTCCCCGAACAGACCTAAAGTATGGAGTGTGGACTGCTACTTGGAGAGGTCCCAGTTCACCTCCTGCCCTGCCGTGGCTCCCCGGGCGCTGTGCAATAGCTGCCCACTGCTCCTAGTACTAGGATGAAAGCAGAGAACACATGTCACTGTGTGCCGTGTGCTCTGCACATGGGCGTAATTTCCACTGGGGACAGGGGGGACATGTCCTTTTCAAAATCCCGTTTGTGTCCCCCCCCCACTTTTCAAATGTGTTTATTATTTATGAATAAATATAAAAAATGTACTATTTTTTTTCGCGAGCGGTCATAATACGGAGGAGCGTCTTTGTGTGTGAGAGAGAGAGAGAGAGAGAGAGGGAGAGAGGAGAGAGAGAGAGGGAGAGAGCGAGAGAGAGAGAGAGAGAGAGAGAGAGAGAGAGAGGAGAGAGAGAGAGAGAGAGGAGGGAGAGAGAGAGAGAGAGAGAGAGAGAGGAGAGAGAGAGAGGGTTGTTGTTAGCATCTGGTGCTAGCTCGGAGCTAACGGAGATTAGAAGCTGTTTCAGCAATGAGGAGAGGGAGAGCTCTCTACTGTCGGACTGAGATAACGTCAGCTCAGGGAGGTAAAGGACTCTGAGCGATTAGATTGTAAACTTTAGTCTAAGTTATCTCACTGGGTCTCAAACGGTTTGGTCTGAACAAATATTTCCATCTATTTAATATAGTTGTTCAAAATAAGTTAAAAAATAATTCCAATGTCAGTAAAAAATAAAAAACACAGTTTGAAAGGGGAGTGATTCGTAAAATATGCATAAACAAAAAGAAAGAATGCAGATGGTAAGATAAAGATAGGAGAGAGGAGCATATAAAATATGTGTTATTGGTTGCGAGCCTATTTTAATGGCTTTTGGAGTATTGAAATATATACAGTTCTGTTTCATATGAGTGTTGAGAGCTGTATCCGTACATCTCTTCATTTGGGCACCAGATTGATGCTTTCCACTTCAATTTAAAGAAACAAATCTTCCCTGGGAGCATGCCCCCGGACCCCCCTAGAGGAGGTGAGGTCATCACAAATAAAACGGTTCACATGGAGAGGATACTAGATAAGTGTGCACACTCATTCTATACACTACACATTTGTCTAGGATTAGTTAACACCATAGTCCCTAATATATAGAAAGGCAGGAAATGGAATTAAATCGAGAACAATGTTTCATTGCGGAGGACCCCGTGTTTTGTGTCCCCCCCACTTCTCAGACCAAAGTTACACCCTTGGCTCTGCATGTGAGACCATCCCTCCCATTCTATAATAATGCATTAGACAAACACTAGTAAAGTACTAGGACGTGTATATATAAATGTGTAGTATTGGGACGTTACTACTATAAACAGAATCATGGTTTTCCGTTTATTATATCAACAACAATGACCTATAGTAACGGAAGGTTCTCCCCAGTCCAGTGGGTGGCTCTTTCATTCTAAGCCCTGGTCAAGGACTTGATGTTCGTGTTAACGGGTCAGGATTTAACCATTTATTTGGAGACACCTGAACTTTTCATGGATGCAAGATGTTAGCGTTTAGTAGTTATGTTGAAATGTAAACAATATATAGGTCAGTGTAATTTGGGGTGGTGTAAATATAAAACGTGATTTGGAGACTATTTGTGATTAAACAACTCACTAAACCCATTTGATGAAATGTCTGTATTTGTCCCCTTCTAGAAACAGTAAACTGGACATATTAGAACAGGAAGGCAGCTTTTAGTTGACTCAGTGGGCGGCTCTTAAAAGAGCCTTTGGTCGGTGGGTCAGCAGCTGCTTATCCCCCGAAGCCGTACAGGGTGCGGCCCGGCCTCTTCAGAGCGTCTTCCTCTTGGCGTGCTCGGTGTAGGTCAAGTTAAGTTTACAAGAAACTAATGAAGTTGAACTCAACGAGCGACAGCCTTTGAATCTTATCTGCGGACATGATGGAGCACAGAGAGTGAGGACTTCAATGGTCGGGGCCAAAACTCAGTATCACTTCCCTTACATCATTATTATAATACTTTTTTAACCGCTTTTCTTTCTTTTATGCTTATTATTATTTTAAAAAGATTATATTATTACATATTTAAGATGTATCACAATATAATAATTGGTATAATAATGGTATAAGGACATTGTAGGACGAGTAAATGACACAATGTATTACTTAATTATATTTAAATAAACCAACATTTTTAGTATTTATGAGAACAACGTAAAGATTGTGAAGAAAGGCAAATTAAAATCTTTTATATTCTTTATGATTTTCATTGGTAAGTGTGGTGTTTCTGAATGTCATCAGATTCAGAAACATTAGGTGACTGTATTTCACATTTTCGTTTGGCCACCACCAATTAACAACGAGACACTATTAAATATAGCGGAGTTTAAAACTATTGTAAAAGATTATAAACACACAACTTGGCAAGAACACTGGGAACTCAGTGACACATGTCCACATCTTTCCAGCTTTCATAAACACGTGGCAGGTGGCAGATGGAGCAGGAGCCCAAGGGGGGGGGGGAGGTCGTCACACGTTTAAGAATAGGACACCCAGGACTAAACAAACGCTATACTGTAATTAACCGGAAACTGTCGAACATGTCTTAATAGACGGAGAAAAATACGATGCGCTGACCTCCTGACCCCGCCGCACGCTCAGGCGGACCCACGTCATCCAGACCATGGACTCGTTTCTCTGAAGCACCAGAGCAGGGAGGGCGGGCTTGGACTAAGAGACCATCTGCAGCTGCAGGGAAAGGATCTCCAACTATTTTAACGGACAGATAAAATAAAAGTTTTTAATGCAGAATTCCTTTAACCCTCCTGTTGTCTTCGGGTCAAATCTGACCGATTCACTACTTTCATCAATCATAACTTTTTTGTTTTACATTCAATTGCATTAAGGCTTCATGATATCCTTCACAGGAGACATTTGAACATATCACATTGCTGATCACCTCTTTCATTGCATTTTGGATGATTTAGTGAACTTTGTAACAACCATGGTGTTCCTCACTCACTCACTCACTCGCTCACTCACTCACTCACTCACTCACTCACTCACTCACTCACTCACTCACTCACTCACTCACTCACTCACACGCTCGCTCGCTCGCTCGCTCACTCACTCACACACTCACACACTCACTCTCACTCACTCACTCACTACTCACTCACTCACTCACACACTCACTCACTCCACTCCCTCACACACACACACACACACACACTCACTCACTCACACACACACACACACCTCGCTACGCTCGCTCACCCTCACTCACTCACACACACCACACACTCACACACTCACACACACACACACACACACACACACTCGCTCACTCACTCACACACTCACACACTCACCACACCACACACACACACTCACTCACACACTCACACACTAACACACTCACACACTCCACCACGCGCTCGCTCACTCAACTCACTCCACTCACTCACTCACTCACTCACTCCCTCACACACTCACACACACACACACCACACACCCACTCAACTTTCACAACACTCACACACTCACCACACACACCACACACACCACACACAACACACACCACACACACACACACACACACACACACACACACACACACACACATTTCCCGCTCTTATGTGCCCATCCCCCCACATGGATCACACCTGGCATTAACATGTTCAGTGTCTGTTCTTTGTATATTTACTGCAGGTCTTCATGTGTACCAGTATTCTGATACAATAGTTTGAAAGGGTGTTGAATGAAATGTG